AAGATAAAAAAATCGATCAGTCCAAGGCCGACTAATTTATCTGTTCAGAAGAGACAGTGGCGAGTGAACGTTCCTTTCGGTAACTTCTCATCAGGTTAACACAGTTACATAGCACGGGGTACAGTGAGTGAAACAAAAATCGACAAAATAAAGTTATTTAAAAAGACAGGCTAGGCAAGAGCGGAAGGGCGCTAAAAGTTGCATGTGGTTAGTCAACCTTCGACCACGGTAAGCGCGGTAAGCTGTCTTCTCAAAACTTTGACCGATTTTTGCACTAGACGCTTTGATAATGGAGAGCCAGAAAAGCTGAGATCAAAACGACTACCAAGAAGGAGACTGCACATCGGAACAAAAGTGCGCTTGCTTCAAACTACTCTTGAATGTGTCAGTATAGACAACAACAGAAAGCGTTGCCGCACGCACAGTGAATACAGTTTCCATGCAACCATACAACTACTTAAACCGCCGGCTCCTTGCATCTACAGCAGACGCTAGTACTTCATGCGACCACCGTTACATCGCCCACATTCCTGTAACTGAACTGATTTCCTCTGCACCACTTTTGGGAATTGCTTCGAATTTTGGTTAACTATATATGCCACTGAGAGCGTGTGAGTAATTAGTCTGCATCGGAACAATTTTAGCGTCAGCTAGAGAGGCCGAGCTTAGTGGATTGCGGAGAGAACTACCTATGCATTTCTGAAATTCAAACCGTTTTTTTGCACCGAACGTCTTCCTGCCTCGATGGCGAGCTCAAATTCGTACGAATTTAGCGCAAACAAATGTACTTTGCCATTTAGCTAGGACGTAAGAGGAGTGGCGGTTTATTGTCAACACATCTGTCAGCCAATCAACGAGGCAATCTGCGAACGCGCATAGTCATTAAACTGTTGTTTGCATTTGACAGAAAAAACTGCTTTCTCTTGGAAAAGTATAATTCTACAAATAACCGCTATGTCTACAGGAATCATTTGGGTGTTGTAGACGAAACAGAGTAACTAATCATTAAAGAGCTAAAAGACTAAAAGACTTTTATCTTAATCCCGAAAATCTCAAAAATTGGCCATCATAAACCGTTGGTGTATAATAAGAGTGTGAGAGATGAAGTCGCTTTATTTTAAAATCATAAATTCACAATTTTCAGCAAAAAATTGACTCCATTCACGATGGTCAGTAAATAGGTAATTATACTATCTAAGCGTCAATGTTTAACACAAAAAACGGTTTTATGAGGACAGTTCAAGTTTTAGCTTTTGTATTTCTCTCTATTCGCACCTAAGATAACGCGCCAGGAATGGCAATACAGAGAAGCCGATGTGCTACAAAGCATAAGTCGGAAGCTGCCGCGCATCGGGCGGAAAAGTTCGCAGAAATGAGATCAAAACACAAAGGATGGACAACGTCATCTTTAATCCGACCAGCAAATTGCCTGACTGTATTGAAATGTCGTTGTAGGATAGTGTCGACTAAAAAAAGATAATAAACACCGGCAGCAGAAGAGACTTGTGCTTGTACTTGATACGGCTGCGATCATGTCTGATCTAGCCGGCCTCGATGATGTCCCGAACTGTACCTCGCCACGCATGACGGTCCGCGGCAGCAGACCTGGATAGCTCAACCCATTCTGTTCGCCAACGACGTCGACCGAATACTGAAGGTCCAAGAACCACCTCCCCGAAGGTTCAAGAATTACCTCCAGGTCCAAGAACCACCTCCCAGCAGAAGAGATCATGCGGAGGACTCTTTTCAAAATTAAAAGATCTTTTTTAAGCACGACACAAAAATGACACAAAAAGCCATACATTCAGGTAATTTAGCATGCCTCAGAAAAGCTTTCGGACCGCTTTTTGTAAAGTTTGCAAAAGAACATCTGTTGCGTAAACTTGCTTGCAAAGGAGTCATCAAACGGAGAGTTGACCGAGTAATTCTTGATCTACTGTAATGTGACCTGCGTTAGGTATCGCCACCGGCCGAGGGGATTTCGTGCCTTCATAATTATTTTCAAAGAATTGCCCTAATTCCTCATAAGTGACGAAGTCTCTATACAAAGTTGATGCACCAGAGACGCAAGCTAACTTACCAAACAGAGGCTGGGTCTCTGGAAACAAAAAAATTTACTTGACTTGGAATTCAATTTATTCTTAAATCCATCATTGGAAACAGCGACAACATGAGTTGTCTGGGACTGAGAGGACAGAGGTGTCTCAGGGACGTGCAACCTCTAATTTTATCAGTCCATGCATTCCCACCAGGTACGTGCATTTTGCGCGATTTCATCGCCGGCGTTGACAAAAATTATAAGACAATTTGTCGCATATTTTTGTTTCCTGGGAACAGTGTTCAAACTAACCAGTTGCTTTGCCGTGACGAAAACTTAGCGTTTAATAAAAACGGTACGATATCATTGCACATGTTGATGAACCGCGGGCCGCACAGCCAGTTGTCAAAGAGCTCGCAACGTATTGCAAATTAATTCCTTAAGAAGACGGATCAAATCATCTACACTGTAGAGTAGATTCAGAACCAAAGACGTTCTCGGCTATAGAGATGCTGGCCTTATTGGTGTGGCTGATATCATATGCCTGCAAATGGAGTTCTTTTTATGATTAAAATAGCACTAATTCTTCATACGACTTCATTTTATACAAGTGTGGTACACCCCTGCGCAGCCTGACCGGCTGTGTACTCTGGGCTCCTTTCGTGAGGCTTAGAAAGGAACGTTTGCCTAACTCCGGCTGTAAAGAGATTAATAAGTTATTGTCACTAACTGCCAGTGCTTCAGAACAGGGGTATGTGTTATATAGAAGCTGACCACATCGTTTCTAATATTTACCTGTGTTTGTTCGTTGAATCAACCAAGATGATTCTGTGTCAATCAGTGCAGACACCAGACTCTGCACAATAAGGCGATTTTTGTTGAGCGTTTTCACCCTTAGCGATCTAGTTTCATTTATTTCAGTCATAAACTGTGCGTCGATGGCACTCGGATGCTAAAGACCGTCCAAACATCATTCAACCTCCTTCATATGATCGTAAAAGTATTCAGGTCACAGCATGGATGGGGTGAGACATGATAGCTAATTGTCTGAGCGACCGTCAGCCAAACAAAAGCGCAATTTTAGTACACGGTCCTCAGAAACCGTTGTTTGAACATAACAGAAAGGATAACTGTTTCCAATTTATCAGTTACGATCGCCCGGACGAACTCTTTGTATGCATCTTTTATTTGATGATCACAGGCAAAATACACAAGAAGTTCGGAAAGAGTTTAGAGGTGTTTTGAAATAATTAATGGCTTCGCAATATATATATAGCCAATGAAACTGTGCGTAAGATGTTATTAGTGATTTAGAGTTGGGGCTGCGCAAACTAGAATGCCTACGACAATTATTTCCGTCTTATACGCCCCTGGGTTCCTAAACGGGCGATCCAACGAGCACTTATGTTAGTCCGAAAGTAAAAATATTTTGCTTCTGTCAAGCACATCAAATTAAGGGAAGAAGTGCTTACCCATATATACATTCGTTTACTGTCATCTGCAGCAGCAACACATAGATGAATGCGTTTTCTTATTCTAGATGAGACAGAAGATGAGGGCGTGGTTCACTGATTTACGCATCAAATGCAGGCATTAAACGACACGACAGGTTTTACTTCGTACAGTTTCGAAGCAGTAATGGTAGCCTGCGAAATGGCTTTATGTGCAATCAGAAGAGGCTCTTGACCACCTCTTTACACACGACAGTTGTTAATACTCGGAAAATAGAGGGCTTGTAGTTTGGAAACCCTAAATGCAGGCGTAACTGCAGGTCGGGGTTGAAACTTATTCATGAACTGGAAAAGTTTTTTTTTAAAAACGAATTACACCCATTCATTGAGAATAAAATTGGAAGAAGACGTAGTTAATCTGCCTCATAAGTAAACAATTGCGTATGTTAATGCATGTTTACCAGAAAACATAATTGAACATTTAAGGGCATCAAAAATCCGTGAGAAAAATGCATGCCACATAAGTTATCAAACTTTGCAGAATATGTCTTTTGCATGTGGCTGGAAAGAATTTCGTTCGAAAGCCGGCATCCAGCTGTAAGTGAATCATCACAGAATTATGCTGCATGACAATTAACTTTAAAACCCCATTTGGGTAGACTTTTCGAAACAGAAACGTATTTCAGTATTTTGCCCAACAGTTCACGAGTTCGCATGCCTACTGCATATGGCAGTTTACCGGGTTTCAGTGAAAAGCACTATCCGCCAGTTACGCCAGTCACACGATTTTAGTCTGTGCTTAAAGAGTTTGGGCTCATGGAACATGCGATATCCTGCCAATTATATTGGCTTCTCGCAAATAGCTTTGTGGCAGTTCGTAATTTTCCTCCAAATTTCAAGCGTCAGTTACAGCGATTCCTCGGCATGGTCAATGTTTACCGTCGGTTTCTACCGAACTGTGCTGACCTCATGCTGCCGCTCATCAACATGCTTTCTGATCCCAAAGGTCCCCTCGAGCTGACTGCTGAAGCACTGACTGTTTTTGAGAGAATCAAGAATTCCCTTGCCGATGCTACCTTACTCAGACATCCAGCTCCTGAAGCTTAGCTGTCTCTGATGGAAGATGCTTCGACCGTAGCCGTAGGTGCAGTCCTCCAACAACACCTGGCTGGTTCGACTCGACCACGTGCCTTTATCTCCAAAAACCTCCTACAAGCTGAGACACGCTACAGTACCTTTGGCCGTGAACTACGTGCCATTTACCTGGCTGTGAAGCATTTACGGCATTTCCTTGAAGGTCGTGACTTCACTGTTTTCAATGACCACAAACGGTTGACTTTTGCACTTCGTTCCCACTCCGACAAATACAATCCGAGAGAAATAGCTCACATGGACTACAATCCACCACCGACATCCGCCACATTGATGGCACGAAGAATGAGGTGACTGATATGCTGTCCAGACCCTTACTGTCTTCCCTCCAACTCTCACACGGGATCGATCTTTTTGCTATGGCGGCTGAGCAACAGCGAGTCGGTTGTCCTGGTGGCGAGTCTGTTAGTGGTCTCCCTCTCAAAGACGTTCCTCTGACCACCGGCTCTGGTACCATACCTTGTGACGTCTCAACTCCCTTTCATCGCCCTTTTGTGCCCGCCTCGATGCGTCGAGCTGTATTTCAAACTCTGCATGGACTCTCCCACCCTGGGATCGGAGCCTCTCAAAAGCTTCTTGCGGAAAAGTTTGTCTGGCCTGGCATGAACAAGGACGTCAAAGCTTGGGCTCGGTCGTGTATAAGCTGCCAGTGCAACAAGGTGCAGCGTCACAACAAGTCCCCACCAGGCACTTTACCCAGTCCCGACGCACGGTTCAGCCATGTGCACCTGGATGTCGTAGGCCCCTTGCCTCTATTCAATGGTTTCACCTACCTCCTTACCTGTGTTGATCGATATACCCGTTGGGCTGAAGCTGTTCCTTTGCCGAATGTTCAGGCTGAAACAATCGTGAAGGCCTTCGTCAGTCGTTGGGTCGCCATGTTCGGTAACCCATCCACGGTTACGACTGATCGTGATGCCCAGCTAGGGTCGGCACTCTTCCAAACGCTACTCAATTTTCTTGGCTGCACACGCATTCGGACGACAGCTTACCAACTAGCTGCCAACGGAATGGTGGAACGTTTCCATCGTCAGCTAAAGACCGCCCTGCGTGCAGTAGAAGACCCAGGAAACTAGGCGGACAACCTTCCTCTTGCGCTCCTCGGCATCAGCCCAGCTCTGATGTCGGATCTCGGCTGTAGCGCAGCTGAATTGGTTTTAGGCACTACCCTCCGTCTGCCAGGCGAGATGGTCCCCCCAACCTCTCGTTGGGCCGACGAGACTCCTGACAACCTTGTGCACCGTTTGCGGCAATTTATGCGCTGGCTTTCCCCGGTTCCACCTCGAGCTCCAATGACTGAGTCTTATGTCGAAAAAGACCTGGACAAGTGTACTCATGTGTTCGTCCAGTGTGACCGTGTGTGCCAGCCGCTGGAATCACCATACGAAGGACCGTTCCGCGTGCTCGCGCGCAAAACCAAGACCTTCCGGATTCTTCGCAGTGACAAGGAGGACGTGGTCAGTGTCGATCGGGTCAAGGCTGCTGTTGCAGAGGAGCCGCCGGACCTGTCACAAGGACAAAAATGCGCTGACCCCCTAACCCCTGTTCCTCCATCTTCCCTATCTCCTGCTCATGCACCCTGCCCACTACTTCGCCCTTCCCCTTTCCGAACCTCAATCCCTCCGCGCCGTAAACTTCCTCTGCCCTCATGTCCGCAACCCACAACTGCAACTACCCCTTTCATCAACCAACAACACTGTCATCGCGAGCCATACTCACTCTACCCCTGTGCCTCCTGCATATATCACCCGTAGTGGACGCCATGTTCATTTTCCTGACCGTTTGGTTACTCATGTTTTTTAAATATAAGCAATTCCTTCGGCACCGCTATGCGCCACCGGTCTAGCCGGGGGGGGGGGGTATTGTGGCAGTTCGCGTCTGCTTGCCCTCCGCCTTTTTCACGCTGCCTTCCTGTCCGCCTCACACTCCTTGTCGACACGCTGCTGGGACGCGCGATTGCTCGAAGCCAATCAACGCTGTCCCCACTCTGATTGGCTGTCGACGTGGAGACAACGAAGGGCACACACACGCGCTGACAACGACTCGAAGGCGGACAGAGACAACAGCTTGCTTGGGGCGCGCTCGCGGCCACTGCCTACAGAGCCCTTGTGTACGCACTTCCTCAGGAAGTAAAGGTTTTCCAACTCAAACCGCCTTCCCTGACTTTTGATTGGGAATCTTTATCTTGTCGACCACACAACATTCGACAGCGTTTCAACTCAAAAGACTAGTAGTATATCCGTGTCCGCTGCAGGACAACTCTCTTTTCCCTATGCCTTCAACTCAACTTTACCAACTTACTCTGAAGTAGTTAAATTGGACCAATGTTTCCCGTAACCGTTTGGGTGTAGCATAGAGTAAGGGGGGCTTCAAAAAGTTAAACTTGCTGACCGAATGATATACATGTGGTCGCATGGAAGTTTCACCAGAGTCATGGGTTTTACAAATAATTAAAAGATGTATATGTTATCATCAAAACTGCGAATACGAACTCGAAGAACGGTCATCCACCGAGGAAATTTCACAATTTCCAGTGAAATTTCTTTGTTATAGCTGTCCGGTCCCGTGGCAGTGTTCTCAATTATCTTGTAGGCCACCATCAAGCAGCATGATTAAAATACAACAATAATTGCCTGGTTTGGAAGGCCACACAACCCCCGCTCTTAAATTCTAGGCTTCCGCAATCCCAAAGTAGTTGCATCCTACTCCCCAATACTGTAACAAAACGCAATTTTCGTGAAAAGAGAGACATATACAATTAAAGTTACACTATGTTACAAGTGTTAGTAAAGATTATTGAGCCACCGTTTTCGAGAAGAACGGTATTAAAAGACGCGCCGTCTTCAGGTATGATCAGCGCTTCAAGGAACATACCGCCCAACAAGCAATCCTATTCTTTTCATACTGACACTGTTAATTGGGCACATACAAGAAATCACCTGACACAGTCCTGGAACCAGGGCGATGTGCAGTCATCTACACAACGCAATCTGACAAAATTACTATTCGAGATAAAAACGCGAATGTTGCACCTTAAATCAATATATTTAGGTTCAGGTCTTTAAAATAAAAGTGCGTAACATGTATAACGGAAAATTAAAAAAACCAAAAAAATAACTCTTAAGCCTTTTAGCTCCTCCTTTAGTTTGAAGCACAAACCCTGATCGTTAGATAGATTGAAGAACCTCTTCAAATAGATAAGCCGGTAGTGCATCCTCACGAGTTCTGTACAGTGACCAGGCCGTCTGGACAAAGCCGTCCCACTTTGTTGATGAGATTGACACTAGGTCCCACAACTTCACGTCCTCTTGCCTGAAGTCTGCAATGGCTCTCCACCAGCGTCTTTGCGAATGGACGCATTGGTACATCTGATCCAACGACTGCATCCGGAATGAGGCATCGCCATGAATCGGGGACTTTGCCGAGAGGAGTTCATAGGCGAGCCTGCAAACATTGGAGCTGGCGGTACAGGCGAGGAAGTCGGCCGATACCAAAAGATGCAGATCCACGAGGATGGCAAACAGCCCTACGGTAGACCAACGATCCTCATACCTACTTCCATTTCTCCGTCGACCAAAAAATTCGTATCTCGGGTATTGGGATCTGGCCTCCTCGAAAACGGATGCATCATCAGAAGCCAAGAAGACGCGTCGTCTTCGAGACCACGGTGGTGGTCTTGTACTGCCAGTTTTCAAACCAAATTCCACCTCCTTCAACTCAAAGAAGCGTTCGACGTGAAACATATACTCCTCTAGTGAATATAGCTTTGCCTCAGAAAGGAGTTTATCGGTTCGACGAATGTGTATGCTGGCGATCGGTCCTTCGTATGATTGGGTATCTGAAAATTGCTTCATGGCCTGTAAATCCATTTCGACTTCACGGCGGACGGCCAGATCTTTTGGACGAAGCATGTACTCCAACAGATGGCCACGGTACCACGGAAAGGGATCACCCAATGTCGTACCTAGTTTGCCGGACCACTGAGTTGGCATAGCAGGGGCATAATATCGTGTGCTTATATTCAGAAGGCCGTTTTCTATGTAAGGAATGTCTGAATGTCGTTCAATGTGATTCAGCGAGCAGTTAGAGTAGGGCAGAAAGAAGTCCTTCCAATCATTGTGTTGCAGCAGCAGAGTGCGATTAGTTGCGAAGGCAAATGAAAACTTCAGAACCATGTGATGAGCAGAACATCCAAACCCGCAGCTATAACGCAGTTCTGTCAGAGCGAAGCGCGACTGACTGCAGTCGGGAGGATTCTGTATCCTCGAAATTTGGTGTCGCAGTTCTGAGCTCAATGCATCCACCTTCTGACGTCTACTCTCACGCTGACCACTGAGTTTGTCGAGCAGATCCAGTCTCGCCGTGAGGTGAAGTGTAGCTTGAGATAGGAGAGTGTTTAAGTGGGTTATTGATGGTGATGTCTGGTTGCGGGTGGGGAAGTGTGCAGTAGTCAGTCTCCACAGTTCATTGACGGTTGAACGGGCCTGTCTGAATAGCACATCGGGCTTTGGTGACCTTTTTTTAATCCATGGAGGATAATCGAACATCACCGTCTCAACATTATTTCCAGCACAATGCTGTAACCAGATAAAACTGAGACGCCAGACGATGCAGACAGTCAGCGCAGTAATGCAAAGGATGAGTCCTGCTGCTTTTCTAGGCCACATGCAACTTTGAGAAGAGGAGAGCTGAGTAGCTGATTTTGTTTTGCTCAATGTGTGCTATTGCATGCAGCCATGGGGTTTAAACAAATTGCAGATAGAAGAGGTTTTTTTTGAGTCTAGATAATCCCACCAATCATCTCGTGCGGCAAAGTCTAGGGTGCGTATTTTCGTTATGAAAATCTGGTGCTGAAGAGCCTAACCGGGCATAGTACCAAAAGTTGTAAATGAGGCAGGCTTGACTTGTCATAGATTGCTCTGATTTGCACGTGACCGCTGTATCTGGGGCGCATACTGGGAATCGACAGAAGTCACGAAGTCAGAAATTTCTGAAACCTGTGACGATGTTTGGGACACGGTAGTCCTGGCTTCATTCTACTCAAAACGCTACTGTTGTTAAAGAACTAGAAAGACGGTTTAACCGATACCCACATGAATGAGTCGCATGGATTAATTTATCCTGTTATTTCGTAAACCATTATCCTTACAATCGTTGTGTGAGGCATTGATAATAGACCTATATTATCCCTATCATTGTTGACTACGTTTAAGTAATGCTACTGACCCTACTACATGTTCAAAGATGGTACTACCTAGGAGCCATTATTGGAAGTCAAGATAGAGGCAATTGAGCAAATTGACGTCACTGATCATGATCCAGCCTGAGCTTCCAAGAGCCACTACCACAACCTGACCTTGGTAGGAGAGCTACACTGTCCAGACTCTGGACACGCGTGTACACTGGTAAAAGGCCTACTTCAAAACTACAACACCATTCCTCGCTTAAATACAATTCCGACAATTTTTCGTAAAAGGGAAGTTGACATCCTCATGTTGGTCGATTTTCCTCTCCATTCGATGCGTCGGTCTTTTTGAATTTATAGAGACATCGAATGACAACGGAAAATGTGCACTCTAATTAAGAACCCCACTTTATCTAGAGTGGTTTTCGCAAGCCGCCGCGAGGAAGCTTTTGAAAAGCCGACACTCCGACTTGATTGGGATATCTTTGTTTTACGTTTCCGGGTAATCATGCAAGCATGATTAGCTTAGTACCGAGAAATCCTTTTGAATTTAAAGAACATTTGCGGCATTTATCTCCTCCTGGCGGCTTTTTTGAGGACAAAAAGTCAACATTTTGGGCGTTTCATATCTGTTTCACCAGCATTGAACAGATTCCCTCTTTTCTGCCTAATCACGAGTTAACGCTGATTGTTCAAAGGCGCACACCTAGTTTAATCACTTGTGACCTGCCAAGACGGGTCCTTGTCTGTGTCAACTACACTCGTGAACTCTCCGTTGCATGTTACTTGTGCGGATGCCTCCGGTGACTAAAGACAGAATAAGGAGAAAGATGGCGGCCGATGGTGGCTCCTCACTGTACTAATAATGACATCTCCTGAAAAGGAGACTCAATCGCTCCGACAAGAGCTCTATTAACCTGAGGTTTCATAATGTTGTCGTTTTATGCATCCGAAATGATTTTCGCCATTAAAAGCCATATAATCCAGATTTTTGGCTACGCGCCCATAATGCGCCGGATCACCCCTAATGCCGTCGAACGTGCGGGAACAAGAAGACACGAGAGCTGGATTTTGTTCCCCTGGTTGGTTTTGTGTGTGAGCTGAAGTCGTCGGGCAGATGCAATATTTGCCACAACACAGGACACATTGTTAGGTAAAACGAAAGCAAGATGAGGCCTAATCTGACGTTTGTTGACGAAAAACCTAATCATCTTTGGTGAGAGATAAATTGTTTCCCCACTAATGCCTCTTCATGTGCTTATACACCCGAAATTCGTGCGCTGATCTATCTGCAATGTGGCAGTAACCTAAGCAGTCAAAAATAATGAAGGCACTTGCGTCGAAACCGTCAAATAAAAGCCTCGGAGTAAACTTCCGCCTGCTTGTCTTTCAGCTTGTCGGCAGGCACGTCAATAATATGTAAAGAGCAGGCAGGGGTAATATACCAAATGACAGACGTCTACTGCCGTCTGGGGTGAAACATTTATAGAAAGCGTGTTTATGCCCAAATTGATTATGCATTTGGTGGAAGTATTTACGTCTTACATTCTTTGGCCGAATGTGTTTTTTATTGCGCACTCTATAGGCCGACAACTGTGAGAGGCCTGACGGAGACAGTAACTTCGCGTGGCTTTTTGCCCACTTTAATAATTAAGGACTACGCGTATTTAGGAGTTTCATGATGACACAGTTCCAAAATCAGCCTAATTTGCATATTTGTTTAAATGCAGTGCATTTCGTTGCCTTCCTCATTTGTTGGAAAACATTACATGACCTAACATTGTCTACGCTTTCTTCGCATTATGACACGAAGAGGGGTCTGTTTTGAATTAAAACTTAGGGCAGATTTCCTTCGGTAAATATTAACAATTTGCCATTGTGTGTGTTTGTTTATAACTACAGGAATCCCAAATTGTTTACTTTGGTGTCTTCCCAGCCACCGACCTTAGACACCCTTAGCCATAAAGATTCCGACTGCAGTTATTATTTCAGTGCATTAGTATGGGCCTCCGTGTTACGTTCTCTATAACATATGTATGTCTTTCACTGATATAAATGATGATTTGACGGATGGTCAAGTCGGCTAACATTGCCATTTGTGAATAAATTTTGCAACAATAAATGCCTTTTCTGCCAATGCGCTCTTGCATGTTGGGCAACCCTAAATGTGTGACCAATATACTCTTTAAATAATGCAGATGAAAAGTGACCTTTTGTAATATCTTATGAGTTGGGCCTACTCAACATTTATCCTATACGTTCTGGAAGACGGGTTAAGTGTTTCAGAGGTTTACTGCTGTAAGCTCTTCAATACATATTTTACAGCCAGAGGCATTTTTAAAGTCGGAAATATAGACCTTCTTATTGAAGTGATGGTAACCACCCTTTTCCTAGCAGACAAGCAAGCAAGCGCAATCCTGTTAAAGATGCGGTAAAAAATTGTAGATCCTAACAATGGCAATGATTTCAAGTCTCAGAATGTGAACTTTTCCTACATAAAATACATATGATTGGATAAAATCATATAAAACATAAAACAGAGTTTTAGATTCCTTTATAAAAATCCGGATTACTAAAGACTACTGTACAGCATAAGTAACAATTCGTGAGGAACACTTTACGATTTTTCTACACGAAAAGCGTTGCAAAGATTCTTGCCCGAATTTTAGCATAGGATGTGCTATGTAGTAAATAGTAACATATAAAAAACTTATTAGTTATTAATGGGCTATTGCGTTCACATCATAGTACGCGGTCCTTCTCATCAGCAATTTGGTCCGCTCCTTAATATTAATAAACGGGGTTTATGGAAAGGGTTTCAAATAAACTTAACAGTCTACTCAGACGATTACGTTAAATGCCATGTAATACAGCAAATTATTACAGTGTTTGATCCATTATGCCAGTCGAGAGCATTCAGATTTTCTTGAGTAAAAAACACTTTTGTGTACTGCGGCTGCACACAGATTCGTTCATTAAATTGTATCTAAATCTCCAAACTTCATAGGGTTTGATACTTCACGATGGAGTAATATTTAACTGATAAGTAGTCCTAACACTTAAATGGATACGTACTATTTTGACTGCTACTTTTGCACATAAGTATGTTACATAATGCAATGTGATGGATTACACCTAGCCATGGCGTCGCGTAGCTGCAGTTGCACTTGATTAAGGACCTCTGAATACTCCTCTTGCTCTGTTTTCGTACAGAATATGCAGCAAAGTTTGATTGTTAAATTTGTTTGATGAAAGCGTTATTCTTGCCCATGATGTCTTTACACAGCAAACATCGCCCCATATGTCTAATGTAATTTTTAATTTTTTAGTGAATCATGTAATCTCTGCCAATATTCTTTAAATTTTTGTTTTCAAATAATTTTGTGAAGTCATATTAAGATGCCAATTGCGTGGGTATATAAAATATAATTGCGAAAACTAGTGGCAGCAATGATTAAAGATGTTACCAGGAGTTAACTGATTGTTTTCGAGTTTTTCTGAAAACTGACCTCCATATTCTGCTGTGGCAAAACGAGTCTCTCCGGAAATAACTTTTGGACAAGATTATCATGAATGACCTTATGCACTAGACAAATATACTTGAATAAACTTCTTAAAATAATCTGGATTAAGAGAGTTCATTTAGGCTATCCAGTGCTGGCTAACATACCAACGAACAGGATAGACGAGACTTCCTGAGTCTTTCGCCTACCACTTCTGCATCGAACAGATCTCATTTTCCTCAACGACTGCGACTGAGCGCCGGCTGTCCACACGCAACCGGCCTTCTGTAGCACGCATAGGCGGACGATCAGTCACTTTGTCCAATCTTACTGCCTGTTATTGTACGGGCTCATACAGTCAGCGGTTGCATGAGAGAGGGAAGAGCGAGCGAGGTCGTCCCTCGGGACTCCTTCCTCACCATAATAAACCTAATGCGCCTGAATCTATCACAACAGGACTTGTAAGTCTGGCAACTGGGGGGGGGAGGGGATAAATCGATTATCATGCTGCGTAAAGTGACCGAAGGACTAGAGTGGGTTGGCTGTGATGCCCAACGGAGACGAATGGACGATTTCGACAAAACGCTTCTGAAGAAGATGCGATCGCTAAGCCATAAAATGTGCTGGCCTAATGTTTTGTATTCTCACTCAAAGCTGTCATCACAGACAGTCACAGAAAATGGAAACGGAAGTACGAAGAGTGCAGTGTTTTTTGAAAGCTATTGCCGTGAGGCCTACATGTCTGTTATAATTACAGTCAATGACCAACCTCATAAGAATGTCAGACTTAAGTCCGCAAAGAATTTTCAGTTAGGAAGGATTTATTACGTAAAATCACTATTCTCACGATATAACCGAA